AGAGAGAACTTCGTGCGAATACCTCTTTGCAATGAGAAGAGCAAGTTGGTGGCCGCCTGGCACCCGCCGACATTGATCGTGTAATTCCTGTACTTGACCTCTTCTGCAAGCGATGGTGCCAGATGTTGCCAGCCGGCCACTGGCTAGCCAAGCACTGCCAAAAGCAAGAGCAGGGCCGACGGAGTTCAAGAGACGAGGGCTGGCCACTTGCTTGTGTGACCAAAGCCCACCCGTGCTCTCAACTGGAACAGTCTAAATTCAGATGATGCGCAAAGGCCGTCTGCATCTTTCAATGCTCGTGCCTTTGGAAAAGAAGATGTCACAGAAGGACAGCGTAGTACGCTCATCCAGCAAGGCTTGTCCCAACACCGACCCGTGGAACCGCACCGTACTTTGAAGCAGCAACGTCCAACCCGAAACTACTACAAGAAGTGAACAGGGTGACTCCGAGAAAACACTGCAAAGCGCGAGTAATGAGCAAATCTCGGCGAGATGCATGTTCCACGCATACACATCGAACATAGTAATAGTAGCGAAGTCCAGGGTGCAGCGCGTAGCACTTCTATGCAGCTGACACCCACAAGTTGTGGCGGCAGCTGGGAGCTGGGACGGCTTCGGTCAAAGAGAAAAGCACCTCATCCGGGAACCTTTCCTGTCCCCCACCCAGCTGCATCCACCTCTAAGCAAAAAAGAGCTGCTCCTGCGCTTCCCGACAGTACCCCAAGTCGACGGGAAGCACACGAGCAGAGTAGCAACCTTCCCGGGCAAAATTACTGGCATGCTACTTGGCATTTACCCTCTGTGGCTGTGATGCCTCACTCAGGACGCTGGAAAGCTGCTTCGTGAAAAATGAAAATCTTGGGGCATAATCAATGATGATGTTCCAACAGCTAGGTCTGTCAGCGGGTGGGACGTGAACCCCAATCTGCCCGCGGCTTCAGAGCCTCTCAAGCCGTTCAGACCGGAACATCAAGCATTAACGAGATTTTGTCAAATGATTTTGTGACGGGACACCCTGCTTGTTTGCAGGAGACTATCGCAGATCATCCCCTCATATGTCCGTTTTCGCCAGATTTCTTCTGAATGTCAATGCTCAGGCCAAGTGCGAATGACCTGTCATGGCTCAGAGACGACATGTGCGCAGTCTTCTTCAGCTCGAGACGTGGGAATAGATTTCTTTCAGGGGTACTGTGGTCGATCCGAGCGGGTCACCGAGTTCATGTACAACGGCTCTTGAAGTGTTGACTGGGCCTAGGCATCCGCGCCGGTTTGGGGGGGTAAGCTGATTCCAGGACGGCACCCAAACTGTCGACCGCTTACTGCCCGGTGGGGACAGGCAGTGCGCCGACCTTCTCCGAAAAAAACTTTACAGTCCCATCATTCTCATCCCTATACTAGCCGGCAGGTGCCTCCTAACAGAAGAGCCCGACACAAGCGGCAACAGCATCTCTTGCCTTCCTCGCTGCTCTCACATCGCGAGCGGCAGGAAGTGCATGCGAAGCCTGGCGCAAGGGGGCAAGGCCGCAGGCGCCGCGGCTGGGCGGCACAAGGATCCGAGCCTTTCCAGGGCTCCCATCAGCTGCTCTGAGCTCTCTGAAGCGTTTCCAGGTCGGCTCGGGGACTGGTGCGTCACCAATCCTGAGAGGAGCCCTTCTGTGGCACTCTACCGGCGCGGCACTGCGGGCGAGGAACCAATCAGGTTGGAGAAGTTCATGCGCGCCAGGGTCTTGTGCAGGTTTCGGATGTCCTCGGGCTTCCATGATGGCGCTCCCCGAAGACACGTCTGAGAAGAAGCCGAAACAGAGCATACCTGAGAAGGCGTCCCGGTCCGAGATGGATGCCGGCAGGGCCCGCGTGCTGGCCGACTCTGCCTGCCAGAAGCCGTGCACATTGCACAAAAAGGCCATTGCCCACGCCGGCCAGGCTGTGGAGGGCTCTCCGCACGCTGCTCCGCGCCTCCAGCATGCCCAGCACCTCGGAGGCTTCCTCGACGAAGCCCACCTGGCAACAGAAATTCTCCGGTCTCCGGTCCGGGCAAAAAGGGCTGCGACCCGGCCTGCTCAGCTTTTGTGCGGCAAAACTCCAGGACCAGCGCCAAGAGTTCTCGGCGGCTCAGTCCCTGCTCAGATGCAGACTCCGGGCTTGTTCTGCGGTGCCGAAGCCCTGACCTGGATGATGGTTCGCTGCCTCTTGTCAAGCTTTGGAGTCTTCTCCTTAGTTGCACAGCGCTTTCACCACCGCAGCGCCTTACATGACTCATATGTGTCTGGGATCCATGTGGGGGAGGTGGCAGTAGGCGCAGGCGTTTCCGTTCTCGCAGTGCCCAGCCAAGAAGTAGATGCAAGGCCTGCGGCAGACCTGCCACCGACAAAAGCCGCAGGCCACAGCCACACGCAGAGCGACGCACGGCAATCCGCCCTCAATCAAAGTGCACCGAAAGCATTTAGGCCGTTTAGGCCTCCGGGTGACCCAAGCTGCCGTGGCTCGGCAGCAGCTCAGCAACACGCCGATCGAGCGAACTGCTGCTGGGGGTTCCTGTCGATTAGGATATGTCTCTCATGCATGTGAGCTCACAAAGAGACCTTGCCTTCCATGAAGGTGGCAGGGCTGTCGTCTGTGTTGCTTGACTGCCCTGGGCTCCACTCACCTTCCAAGCGCGGCCAGCGAAGGTTCAGATTCAGGCAACTTGCTGCAAAGCGCCCTACAGTGACATCGCTGCGCGTGGCCTTCACTCTCGGGGGCCGCGGTGGATGCTGGGCTCGCATCGAGGACACTGCCGAAAGGGCTGTCTGCCTCGAGCACTGTGCCGAAGGCAGACATTCTTGCCATGGCGCTTGCCAGCAAGCCTTCTGGTGCAGTGCTCTTGCGAAACCGGCATCCCCTTGCTTCTGCTTCAGCATGTCCACGTAGCCTCGCATGGCCTTCTCCTCAGCAGTTTCAAACTCCCGAGACCCCTCGTTGGCCGTGATCCCGCCCCGTCCTCTTCGTGCGCGTCCATGCCCATGTCCATTGCGGAATGCCGGCCAGAAGTCGGAGGGCAGCTGCGAGAACGCGCCTGAGCGAGAGCTCCAGATGGAGGAATGCATTCAGAGCGCTCCCACCGCTGAGGACGAAACGTGCTGGGCCTCGGCTGGATCTTGCTCGTCCACGTCGATGAAAGTGAACTTGTACCTTGGACAAAGAACCTTCAAGCCTCCACCATATTTCCAGCTGATGACCTTAATGCCCCTCAAACTTCAGGCCGTCCACTGCAGCTCCAGAGCCATCGCAGCAGAGCGATTGATCTCGACACGCAGGCCCGTGGAGCAAAATGAGCAACTTGCTGCGGCGATCGTCACAACTCGCATCTACACCGAAGCAACATATGCCACCGGCACTAAGCATGGGCATCAGGGTCCTCCGCAGTACAGCGCAACCGGGACGCCCTGAGCCAGGTGGCCAACCAGCTACCGCTTGGGAGGTCATGGGTCATCTTGGAATTTGCAGGTCGCGCCCAGCCTGAAATCAGCGGAAAAATCGTCGGCAAGCCTCGGGCAAACCTTGACAGAGGCGGTGGCGTCCTCGAGAAAGCACGTGCTGTGACGTCCCTCTCTGCAAGACATTGTGCGAGATGTCCCAAGAAGGTTCACAGCAAGACTCTGCACATTCCGTAGCTTTTGCTCCCCCACCTGTCCACAAATAGATGGTTCTTTGAGCGCATCGGTGACGCACAGCCGAAGCTGCCGAGGATGAGATGAGAATCAGTTGAGCAGAGAGAACTTCGTCCGAATACCTCTTTGCAATGAGAAGAGCATGTTGGTGGCCGCCTGGCACCCGCCGGTACTGATCGTCTATTGTCTCTTCTGCAAGCAATGGTGCCAGTTGCATGCCAACCGACCGCTGGTTAGCTAGCCAGGCTCTACAAAATGAAAGACGAGGGCTGGCCACTACGAGGTTCCCTGTATGACCAACGTCCACCCGTGCTTTCAACCGGAACAGTCTAAACGCAGATGGCTTGCAAAGGCCGTCTGGCGCTTTCAACGCCTGGACAAGAAAATGTCATGGAAGGACAGTCGTACGCTCATCCAGCGAGGCTTGTCCCAACATCGACCCGTGGAAGCGTACCGTGCTCTGAAGCAGCAACGTCCAACCCGAAACTACTACAAGAAGTGGATGGGGTGACTCCAACAACCCACCTCAAAGCTGCATAGCACAGCACGGGCCAGCCGAAATGCTTGAGAAATGGATACAAGTCCAAAGTCAGGGTGCAGCGCGTAGCACTTCTATGCAGCTGACACCCACAAGTGGCAAGGGCAGCTGGGAGCTGGGGTGGCTCCAAGTTTGTCCAAACAACAGAGACAGTTCCATCAAAGAGAGAAGTGTGCCTAGCATCAAGGAGCCTCTCCCATCACTACATGCCCAGCTGCATGCACTTCGCAAAACGCTGCTCTTGCATCTCATGGCAATACGGCAGTAGGCAAATTGGAAGCCATAGCAGGTAGCACTCATAGCACCGCTTTCTGGAGAGCGATTCGGAAACACATGAGCAGAGACTAGCCCAAGCAGGCATGCAAGAGTTGAGTTGTGTCTGGATGGGGAGATTCAGTGGTGATGCCTCACTCAGGATGCTGGAAAGCTGCTTCAACACGGGCACTTGCCTTCCTCCTGAAATGACTGGCGTGCCTACACTGCGGCGGCATGGAGGTTCTGTCAAGCTGCGGGCGTGGGCATGTGGAGCCCGATTTGCCCACGAATCTGCAGAATCTGTCAAACCATGCAGCAAAAGGCAACGTTCGTAACGGCTCTATCCCACCGATCGCGAAAGTGAGCCGTTCTCCAAGAGCTGTAAACAAGACATAAAAAGATGTTGCAAGGCAGAGCTTCGCTCTTGCGACTGCAGAAGCCGGCACTCCACCTTCGGCATTGCACCAGCACGTAGCTCGTGCAGGGCCTCTGACATGAGTAATGCAGGGTCTTGCAGCCAGGACAGGAACGACGATCTCTTGCCTTCCTCGCTGCTCTCACATCGCGAGCGGCAGGAAGTGCATGCGAAGCCTGGCGCAAGGGGGCAAGGCCGCAGGCGCCGCGGCTGGGCGGCACAAGGATCCGAGCCTTTCCAGGGCTCCCATCAGCTGCTCTGAGCTCTCTGAAGCGTTTCCAGGTCGGCTCGGGGACTGGTGCGTCACCAATCCTGAGAGGAGCCCTTCTGTGGCACTCTACCGGCGCGGCACTGCGGGCGAGGAACCAATCAGGTTGGAGAAGTTCATGCGCGCCAGGGTCTTGTGCAGGTTTCGGATGTCCTCGGGCTTCCATGATGGCGCTCCCCGAAGACACGTCTGAGAAGAAGCCGAAACAGAGCATACCTGAGAAGGCGTCCCGGTCCGAGATGGATGCCGGCAGGGCCCGCGTGCTGGCCGACTCTGCCTGCCAGAAGCCGTGCACATTGCACAAAAAGGCCATTGCCCACGCCGGCCAGGCTGTGGAGGGCTCTCCGCGCGCTGCTCCGCGCCTCCAGCATGCCCAGCACCTCGGAGGCTTCCTCGACGAAGCCCACCTGGCAACAGAAATTCTCCGGTCTCCGGTCCGGGCAAAAAGGGCTGCGACCCGGCCTGCTCAGCTTTTGTGCGGCAAAACTCCAGGACCAGCGCCAAGAGTTCTCGGCGGCTCAGTCCCTGCTCAGATGCAGACTCCGGGCTTGTTCTGCGGTGCCGAAGCCCTGACCTGGATGATGGTTCGCTGCCTCTTGTCAAGCTTTGGAGTCTTCTCCTTAGTTGCACAGCGCTTTCACCACCGCAGCGCCTTACATGACTCATATGTGTCTGGGATCCATGTGGGGGAGGTGGCAGTAGGCACAGGCGTTTCCGTTCTCGCAGTGCCCAGCCAAGAAGTAGATGCAAGGCCTGCGGCAGACCTGCCACCGACAAAGGCCACAGGCCACAGCCACACGCAGAGCGACGCACGGCAATCCGCCCTCAATCAAAGTGCACCGAAAGCATTTAGGCCGTTTAGGCCTCCGGGTGACCCAAGCTGCCGTGGCTCGGCAGCAGCTCAGCAACACGCCGATCGAGCGAACTGCTGCTGGGGGTTCCTGTCGATTAGGATATGTCTCTCATGCATGTGAGCTCACAAAGAGACCTTGCCTTCCATGAAGGTGGCAGGGCTGTCGTCTGTGTTGCTTGACTGCCCTGGGCTCCACTCACCTTCCAAGCGCGGCCAGCGAAGGTTCAGATTCAGGCAACTTGCTGCAAAGCGCCCTACAGTGACATCGCTGCGCGTGGCCTTCACTCTCGGGGGCCGCGGTGGATGCTGGGCTCGCATCGAGGACACTGCCGAAAGGGCTGTCTGCCTCGAGCACTGTGCCGAAGGCAGACATTCTTGCCATGGCGCTTGCCAGCAAGCCTTCTGGTGCAGTGCTCTTGCGAAACCGGCATCCCCTTGCTTCTGCTTCAGCATGTCCACGTAGCCTCGCATGGCCTTCTCCTCAGCAGTTTCAAACTCCCGAGACCCCTCGTTGGCCGTGATCCCGCCCCGTCCTCTTCGTGCGCGTCCATGCCCATGTCCATTGCGGAATGCCGGCCAGAAGTCGGAGGGCAGCTGCGAGAACGCGCCTGAGCGAGAGCTCCAGATGGAGGAATGCATTCAGAGCGCTCCCACCGCTGAGGACGAAACGTGCTGGGCCTCGGCTGGATCTTGCTCGTCCACGTCGATGAAAGTGAACTTGTACCTTGGACAAAGAACCTTCAAGCCTCCACCATATTTCCAGCTGATGACCTTAATGCCCCTCAAACTTCAGGCCGTCCACTGCAGCTCCAGAGCCATCGCAGCAGAGCGATTGATCTCGACACGCAGGCCCGTGGAGCAAAATGAGCAACTTGCTGCGGCGATCGTCACAACTCGCATCTACACCGAAGCAACATATGCCACCGGCACTAAGCATGGGCATCAGGGTCCTCCGCAGTACAGCGCAACCGGGACGCCCTGAGCCAGGTGGCCAACCAGCTACCGCTTGGGAGGTCATGGGTCATCTTGGAATTTGCAGGTCGCGCCCAGCCTGAAATCAGCGGAAAAATCGTCGGCAAGCCTCGGGCAAACCTTGACAGAGGCGGTGGCGTCCTGGAGAAAGCACGTGCTGTGACGTCCCTCTCTGCAAGACATTGTGCGAGATGTCCCAAGAAGGTTCACAGCAAGACTCTGCACATTCCGTAGCTTTTGCTCCCTCACCTGCCGGGATTTCCGTGTTGCGTACAGTATGGAACCAGTCCACAAATAGATGGTTCTTTGAGCGCATCGGTGACGCACAGCCGAAGCTGCGATGAGAATCAGTTGAGCAGAGAGAACTTCGTCCGAATACCTCTTTGCAATGAGAAGAGCATGTTGGTGGCCGCCTGGCACCCGCCGGTACTGATCGTCTATTGTCTCTTCTGCAAGCAATGGTGCCAGTTGCATGCCAACCGACCGCTGGTTAGCTAGCCAGGCTCTACAAAATGAATGACGAGGGCTGGCCACTACGAGGTTCCCTGTGTGACCAACGTCCACCCGTGCTTTCAACCGGAACAGTCTAAACGCAGATGGCTTGCAAAGGCCGTCTGGCGCTTTCAACGCCTGGAAAAGAAGATGTCATGGAAGGACAGTCGTACGCTCATCCAGCGAGGCTTGTCCCAACATCGACCCGTGGAAGCGTACCGTGCTCTGAAGCAGCAATGTCCAACCCGAAACTACTACAAGAAGTGGATGGGGTGACTCCAACAACCCACCTCAAAGCTGCATAGCACAGCACGGGCCAGCCGAAATGCTTGAGAAATGGATACAAGTCCAAAGTCAGGGTGCAGCGCGTAGCACTTCTATGCAGCTGACACCCACAAGTGGCAAGGGCAGCTGGGAGCTGGGGTGGCTCCAAGTTTGTCCAAACTACAGAGACGGTTCCATCAAAGAGAGAAGTGTGCCTAGCATCAAGGAGCCTCTCCCATCACTACATGCCCAGCTGCATGCACTTCACAAAAAGCTGCTCTTGCATCTCATGGCAATACGGCAGTAGGCAAATTGGAAGCCATAGCAGGTAGCACTCATAGCACCGCTTTCTGGAGAGCGATTCGGAAACACATGAGCAGAGAATAGCAAGGTTTCCAGAGCCCAAGCAGGCATGCAAGAGTTGAGTTGTGTCTGGATGGGGAGATTCAGTGGTGATGCCTCACTCAGGATGCTGGAAAGCTGCTTCAACACGGGCACTTGCCTTCCTCCTGAAATGACTGGCGTGCCTACACTGCGGCGGCATGGAGGTTCTGTCAAGCTGCGGGCGTGGGCATGTGGAGCCCGATTTGCCCATCTGCAGAATCTGTCAAACCATGCAGCAAAAGGCAACGTTCGTAACGGCTCTATCCCACCGATCGCGAAAGTGAGCCGTTCTCCAAGAGCTGTAAACAAGACATAAAAAGATGTTGCAAGGCAGAGCTTCGCTCTTGCGACTGCAGAAGCCGGCACTCCACCTTCGGCATTGCACCAGCACGTAGCTCGTGCAGGGCCTCTGACATGAGTAATGCAGGGTCTTGCAGCCAGGACAGGAACGACGATCTCTTGCCTTCCTCGCTGCTCTCACATCGCGAGCGGCAGGAAGTGCATGCGAAGCCTGGCGCAAGGGGGCAAGGCCGCAGGCGCCGCGGCTGGGCGGCACAAGGATCCGAGCCTTTCCAGGGCTCCCATCAGCTGCTCTGAGCTCTCTGAAGCGTTTCCAGGTCGGCTCGGGGACTGGTGCGTCACCAATCCTGAGAGGAGCCCTTCTGTGGCACTCTACCGGCGCGGCACTGCGGGCGAGGAACCAATCAGGTTGGAGAAGTTCATGCGCGCCAGGGTCTTGTGCAGGTTTCGGATGTCCTCGGGCTTCCATGATGGTGCTCCCCGAAGACACGTCTGAGAAGAAGCCGAAACAGAGCATACCTGAGAAGGCGTCCCGGTCCGAGATGGATGCCGGCAGGGCCCGCGTGCTGGCCGACTCTGCCTGCCAGAAGCCGTGCACATTGCACAAAAAGGCCATTGCCCACGCCGGCCAGGCTGTGGAGGGCTCTCCGCGCGCTGCTCCGCGCCTCCAGCATGCCCAGCACCTCGGAGGCTTCCTCGACGAAGCCCACCTGGCAACAGAAATTCTCCGGTCTCCGGTCCGGGCAAAAAGGGCTGCGACCCGGCCTGCTCAGCTTTTGTGCGGCAAAACTCCAGGACCAGCGCCAAGAGTTCTCGGCGGCTCAGTCCCTGCTCAGATGCAGACTCCGGGCTTGTTCTGCGGTGCCGAAGCCCTGACCTGGATGATGGTTCGCTGCCTCTTGTCAAGCTTTGGAGTCTTCTCCTTAGTTGCACAGCGCTTTCACCACCGCAGCGCCTTACATGACTCATATGTGTCTGGGATCCATGTGGGGGAGGTGGCAGTAGGCGCAGGCGTTTCCGTTCTCGCAGTGCCCAGCCAAGAAGTAGATGCAAGGCCTGCGGCAGACCTGCCACCGACAAAGGCCACAGGCCACAGCCACACGCAGAGCGACGCACGGCAATCCGCCCTCAATCAAAGTGCACCGAAAGCATTTAGGCCGTTTAGGCCTCCGGGTGACCCAAGCTGCCGTGGCTCGGCAGCAGCTCAGCAACACGCCGATCGAGCGAACTGCTGCTGGGGGTTCCTGTCGATTAGGATACGTCTCTCATGCATGTGAGCTCACAAAGAGACCTTGCCTTCCATGAAGGTGGCAGGGCTGTCGTCTGTGTTGCTTGACTGCCCTGGGCTCCACTCACCTTCCAAGCGCGGCCAGCGAAGGTTCAGATTCAGGCAACTTGCTGCAAAGCGCCCTACAGTGACATCGCTGCGCGTGGCCTTCACTCTCGGGGGCCGCGGTGGATGCTGGGCTCGCATCGAGGACACTGCCGAAAGGGCTGTCTGCCTCGAGCACTGTGCCGAAGGCAGACATTCTTGCCATGGCGCTTGCCAGCAAGCCTTCTGGTGCAGTGCTCTTGCGAAACCGGCATCCCCTTGCTTCTGCTTCAGCATGTCCACGTAGCCTCGCATGGCCTTCTCCTCAGCAGTTTCAAACTCCCGAGACCCCTCGTTGGCCGTGATCCCGCCCCGTCCTCTTCGTGCGCGTCCATGCCCATGTCCATTGCGGAATGCCGGCCAGAAGTCGGAGGGCAGCTGCGAGAACGCGCCTGAGCGAGAGCTCCAGATGGAGGAATGCATTCAGAGCGCTCCCACCGCTGAGGACGAAACGTGCTGGGCCTCGGCTGGATCTTGCTCGTCCACGTCGATGAAAGTGAACTTGTACCTTGGACAAAGAACCTTCAAGCCTCCACCATATTTCCAGCTGATGACCTTAATGCCCCTCAAACTTCAGGCCGTCCACTGCAGCTCCAGAGCCATCGCAGCAGAGCGATTGATCTCGACACGCAGGCCCGTGGAGCAAAATGAGCAACTTGCTGCGGCGATCGCACAACTCTAACTCACTGAGCATCTACACCGTACCAACATATGCCACAGGCCGTATAGGCATGGGAAGGCAAAGTTGAGGTCGTCGCGGTGACGGCGAAAACCCGCAGCGGTCACAACGACAACGACGACGACTAGAACCACAACCAGAACAACAACAAGACCGACAACAAGGGCATTTCATTTCATTCAGACGCTCGGGCAGGTAGTCCCGCATCTTGGCCGGCATCAGGCTATATGGGTAGTTGTCAAAATTATGCTCCTTTTTTGGGTCCCTAATATAGTACGGCACCTAATATTTAGGGTACCCAAAAAGGGACCCCAATTTTGACAACCACCCATATGATTGCTCATGAGTGGCCAGCTATGGGGCAAGTTGAGCAGAGCACAAACCACATGGACGAGGTTGAGCCTAAAGCAAAGCAAGCAAACTTAGAAACGGCCCCATAGCTGGCCAGTCTGGCCTCGCGGCAACTTACGGCAACTTGCTAGAAGCTTAGCAAGAGTTGCTTCACACCGCGGTCCGTGGACTCAGCCCGTGCGGAGCGCGAAATTGCACACTGCGCGCCGGTCCGAGAACTCTGCACGCGCAGTTGTTCGCAAAACAGAGCTTTAGGCGTACCACTCACAGAACTTGCGGGCTCTGCTCGGCTGCTGTGCGTTTTTAATAGGCATAATCAAACGACGACAAACTAAACAAGCCAGAAAAGCTGGATCTACGAAGGGAAGGCCCCGCAGCAACAGAGGGCACTTTTTTCCATGCAGCAGCAGCAGCAGCAGCAGTCTCCCACATCGACAAAATTCAACAAAGAACTCCTGTGGTCAGACAGACTAGGAGGCTACGTCACCAGCCTGGTTTCCAGGACGTGGTTTAGGGACCCAGAGCTGTTTCATTGGACGAAACGAGCACAACAGCGCTGTGGCATGGCGTCGCCCGACGAACGGGACTATAGTAGGCCTCAGAGTTGCCTAGCGCGACGAACGGGTCTGCTAGGCAAAGTTGACCAGCTTGGCAAGTAGACAACATGTGGCCTTACCCGACGCACGGGACTACAGGGCTTGCAGACAAAAGCCCTTACCCGACGAACGGGACACTTGGCTGATCCAGACTTGTAGCTACAGTTTGAAGCGCATGGAATCCAAAATGTACATTCGCAGATCTGGCAGGCCCGGCTCACCCGACATACGGGACTACTAGGCCTTACAGAACAAAAAGCCTTACCCGACAAACAGGACCACTCGGCTGATTCATTGCTTTTGCACTCCGCTGTGACAAAGTGGACACAATAAGCCTGCATGCCGCACAGTCGCAATCTGGCAATAAAGGGGCCTAAACCCTTGCACTGATTGCCCATCTTCGGGCTCGCCATCGTCTTGAAAGAAAATACAAGCTCAGAGAAAAATTTCGAATAAGAGTGGCAAGCAAATAAAAGATGTATACTGTATGGCGCACGTGAGAGCGCCAACATTCCGCAGCTTCCGAAGACTAATACTATGACCAGGTTGCACTTTAAGGAAATCGCCTCCGAAAACACAGCTCCCACACACATGTACTTGCAGCGTAGAAAACGACGTCGAAGTTCGTTGCTTGACTCAGAAACTTAGCAAGCTGGGACCACTGTAGACGCTGGCTTTCCCTGGCTCTTAAAAAAGTAGAATCGTAGAAGTAATCAAACACCCCTTCGTTGATCTTAGCAAGCATCTGCGACCATCCGAAGCTGGTAGTTGAAACAAGCAAATATCCGTGTGGTCTGCGAGCAACACAGAACCAAGTACAAGCATTGGCCAGCGCCATCCGATTTCAGCTTCCGAAGAGCAAAGGCGAAGACTTGAAGGTATTACAGAGATTTGCCGCTCGCGCAACAGGGACTCATGAACCTTTTGCAGTCTCTTGGCATGGCATAACTGCATCGGCGGAGAGCATCTGTAGATATGCTGAAAACGTATCCATGTAAAAGCTGAATAATAAAAACCCAAGATCTGCTCTGCAAGCAGTGCAAACATGAAATAGCCCTGTGCCATCCGCGCTTTTAGCCTTCAATGCAAGCAAGTCAGACTCCCCGGCTTTGCGGGAAAACGGGAACCCTCACGCGAAGGAGCAGAACGAAGTTGCTTAGCAAGTTGCTGTCTCCCTTCGGATTTGGGATCGGGCCAGCTCCTGATTGCAACGGCTGCAAAGTGGCGTGCCTGTTTCACCACTGGGTGCCGCAAAAAAGGGAGACCGTAAGAAGCCTCACAGCGAATCAAAAAGCACTCCCATGCGCAGCCTGAGCTAACTTAACAGATGCATGCTTGAAGGACCCGGGAACTGTCAGGAGCTCAAAGATCTCAAAGAGTTGAGCTCTCCACACTGTCCTGCGATGGTTGGACGGTTACAGTTCGCGGCCGCTTGAGTTGGTAGGGCTTGACAACAACAGCAACAACAAGAACACAACAACAACTGGAACTTTTTTCGGGGGGCCGGACTTTTCGTGCTGCAACACAGGGCCCCTGCTCAGTCGGCAAGAGGATTTACTCTGATTTGGAAACTTTTGCTGCGATGGAAGGGGATAGCACCGCAGGCATCCTACACAGAGGATAACACTATCTCCGCCTACTTAGGCGGGGGTTACCTCCTTCGACGTTGACACACTCTCCGCAAAGCAACCTTCGGGGGGTCACCTCGGTGCAGTGCCCTCGCGGCTTTGTCGTGCCGCAGTTGGTAGGGTGTTGGCTCGCATGTGGAACCTCCTTGGCCCACACCCTTCCCGACCTCCTGAGCTTGCCTTGCCTCGAACCTTACTTAGTCTGAGGTGGCTCTCTCTCTTTGGCCCTTTTCGCTTGTCTCCTTTGAAGCCGCAGCACACGCGGCATCGCTGCCGCCCTCCAGCTCGGCGGCTGCCTGGAACATCGCTGCGAGCGGGGTTCTCAGGTGTGGGGTCGGCAAGGCCAGCTTGGGGGGAGCACGCTTAGAAAGCTTGCAGGCTTCAGAGAGGATGCTGAGCACTTTTTTGCAAACATGCCACGCCTTCCACGCCAATCCCGGTAGTGACTAGTGACTATAGTGGTGGAACAGGGCGGGGTGCTTCGCTTCCAAGTGCTTCCTGGGGCTTGTGTGCAAGATGCGGCCTTGCACTCTACATTAACCCGTTTCCATTCCCACTCGTGCGCTTGGTAAATCTGGTCCACTAGCTGCTGGAACCACTCCGCCACAGTCTGCCGGTGGCACCATGTTGGAACCCGGTCGCTTCTTGCAAGGCCGATCATGCGAAGCAGATGGAGCTTTTCCTGATGGCTTGGTACACCAGGGCCTGCTGCAAGAACAAGACGCGCAACCTTTCAAACCCCAATTCTCAAACCCCCTGGATCGGGGTCCTTCTCCGTGTGCCAAAGCAAGCCAGCTATCCGAAACGGAGACAGGTTTCGCTTCCGAAAAAGGTGCGATTCCCGCAAGCTGGAACATTCCCCACGACAATCCCGCCCACGAGGGCCAGCAGCTCGGCCTATACAGAACCAGTCCGGCTCTGGCACGTTTTTAACCCGCCACCAAGCGCACTCAAAAACCAACATGTTCCCACATGCACTGGGTGTCACAAAGACAGACCTTGATACCTCCCGCTTTGTTGTCCCTAACCTGCAACCCTGCGCTTCGGTGGGGCTTCTTTGGTTGAATTGCTTAAGCAACCTGCCTTCCTGTCAGTCCAGGCCCGGGGCACCCTACCTTACGCCTTACGGTAGACCTCCTGCTGCCGGGCTTTTTGAACTGTGAGTTTGAGTTGCTCCAAAACAAAGGTTTGCTGGCGCTTGTTGCAGATATTCTAGGCCCTTTGAAGGGCTCGGGCGTAGCCCGCAAAGTGCCCTTGACGTGGTACCATCTTCTGGCGTTGCAGCTGTTTGGCCCAGGTCACAGGCCAGGGCCTGTCCAGGCACGCAATCACCCCTCCACCTGACCAACAAGCTTCAACTTGCTGCACCGAAGGCAGCCAAACCTTCACGGAAAAGCCGCAACTCAGCTTGCACCCCCAGATTGGGGCGAACTTCCACCCTCTGCCAACAGCAGGGCTCGTAGCAGGCCTCGGCGCGGGGAGTGTGGTGGGCGCCGTGGCTTGGAGCGCCTGTTGCTGCTTTGCTCTTCTTTGTTTACACCCTCTATCTCCTCAAAACTTTCCGCGTACTGCTTGTCGAGCTTGGCCCAGAATGCTGCCTGTGCCCCGATCATAGCGCGGACCTTTAGGGCTGAAATTCCGGCCAGCCTCGTTCAGCTGCTGCTATGGCATCTGTTGTGGCTCGGCCGCTTCGCGCTTTGCCAACGCTGCCTGGATCTTCTCCGGCAGGGTCTTTTCGTAGCGCTTGGGAAGTGCGGCGGCCAGGGTACCCCGTCCAGGGTCCAACTTTGCTTCGGACCTGCAGCTGGGGGCCTTCCATGGTCGTCCGCACTGTCGTAGCTTGTGGCAGTAGATCCATGATCCGCATGGACACGCCAAGGAGGGCTTGCCAACCAGCACCTGAGTTAGTTTACGGTGGGCTATGGCGGGCTGTTCCTGCTAGGAGAGAGGCACCGCGGAGCTAAGCGCGCTTACTGCCCGCAACCACTTGCAAACCTCGATCTACAATGGGCTTGAGCACCACAGCAACGACAGCGACCACCGCAGCAACAGCAGACACGGCAATAACCACAACAACGCCAGCAGCAGCAGCAGCAGCAGCAGCAGCAACTCTAAACTGTTGTTTTAAGCAGTCCATGCGCTTCCTTGGCGTCTATGTGCACAGCACGTGTGCATTCCGCCTGCCGACTGTTCCTCGTGACGAGAGTGGCGTTGGTGCCTCCGCTCCCTGCGAACCTTGACAGAGACGTCGTCCTGGAAAATCGGGAATGCCGCTGTGCAAGACAGTTCGGTGAAATCGTAAGGCTGGCAGCATGCACAATTAGCACGGCCTTTTCATCCCCACCTGCCCGAGATCTCACGGGTTCTGTATAAAGTTAGCTAGCCCACAGCTTCATATTTTCCTGTAGGCACGCTGGTTGTGACGAGCACGGCTGAAGCTACAGAGGAGGAGAACAAGAAGCCAGGCAGAGAAACCATCGCAACTCGAATACCTCTCTGAGCCTCTGAGCCAGAACAGAACGTGGTGGCAGCCCAGCTCGTGCCAGCATTGACTTCTCTACGTCTGCCGACGGAGCCGGTTGCAAGCCATTTTAAACACAAAGCAAAATGGCAAGTGAAAGCCAATCCTGCAACTTTCAAGCAAGAAGAAGCAGAAAGCAAAATGCCAGGGACAGTCACGCTCATCCAGCAAATCTTGCCCTAGCACAGCAAACTGTATCATGTTCCTGCAGGCCGCCCACAACGCTTGAAGCAGCCTGAGGCAGCCTAGGATAGCCTCGGGCCTAGATCATCTCTTAGACTGCCACTGCCATAGCATCTCTGAGCTCATATGTATTAATGTAAGATGTGATGAGCAGCAGAAGGCTGTTTCGAGTCGTTCTGTCGCGGCAAACAGAAAGCCGTGGGGAACATGGAAAGTTGACGAAATATACACCGCATGGTTCCATGCAGTCGTCAGCCCAGTCGGTGCAGCGCGTAGGAGTTCTATGCAGCTGGCACTGGGCAGATAGTGACTGCTGCTGGCGATGAAGTGGCAAAGAAGTGGGTTTCGGGATAATTATACGGTAGCACCACCAAGCGGCGAGGCCTAGTGTTGCATGAGCCAGCTGCCGACACTTCAAAGCAGATCTTGCTCGCATGTTCCCAGCGGTACACCTAGGCAGACAAGACAACTTCAAAGCCGGCGGCTCGTCTCCGAAACTGCTGGGAACACATGAGCAGAGACTAGCAAGGTTCCCAGAGCCCAAGCAGGCATGCAAGAGTTGAGTTGTGTCTGGATGGGGAGATTCAGTGGTGATGCCTCACTCAGGATGCTGGAAAGCTGCTTCAACACGGGCACTTGCCTTCCTCCTGAAATGACTGGCGTGCCTACACTGCGGCGGCATGGAGGTTCTGTCAAGCTGCGGGCGTGGGCATGTGGAGCCCGATTTGCCCACGAATCTGCAGAATCTGTCAAACCATGCAGCAAAAGGCAACGTTCGTAACGGCTCTATCCCACCGATCGCGAAAGTGAGCCGTTCTCCAAGAGCTGTAAACAAGACATAAAAAGATGTTGCAAGGCAGAGCTTCGCTCTTGCGACTGCAGAAGCCGGCACTCCACCTTCGGCATTGCACCAGCACGTAGCTCGTGCAGGGCCTCTGACATGAGTAATGCAGGGTCTTGCAGCCGGGACAGGAACGACGATCTCTTGCCTTCCTCGCTGCTCTCACATCGCGAGCGGCAGGAAGTGCATGCGAAGCCTGGCGCAAGGGGGCAAGGCCGCAGGCGCCGCGGCTGGGCGGCACAAGGATCCGAGCCTTTCCAGGGCTCCCATCAGCTGCTCTGAGCTCTCTGAAGCGTTTCCAGGTCGGCTCGGGGACTGGTGCGTCACCAATCCTGAGAGGAGCCCTTCTCTGGCACTCTACCGGCGCGGCACTGCGGGCGAGGAACCAATCAGGTTGGAGAAGTTCATGCGCGCCAGGGTCTTGTGCAGGTTTCGGATGTCCTCGGGCTTCCATGATGGCGCTCCCCGAAGACACGTCTGAGAAGAAGCCGAAACAGAGCATACCTGAGAAGGCGTCCCGGTCCGAGATGGATGCCGGCAGGGCCCGCGTGCTGGCCGACTCTGCCTGCCAGAAGCCGTGCACATTGCACAAAAAGGCCATTGCCCACGCCGGCCAGGCTGTGGAGGGCTCTCCGCGCGCTGCTCCGCGCCTCCAGCATGCCCAGCACCTCGGAGGCTTCCTCGACGAAGCCCACCTGGCAACAGAAATTCTCCGGTCTCCGGTCCGGGCAAAAAGGGCTGCGACCCGGCCTGCTCAGCTTTTGTGCGGCAAAACTCCAGGACCAGCGCCAAGAGTTCTCGGCGGCTCAGTCCCTGCTCAGATGCAGACTCCGGGCTTGTTCTGCGGTGCCGAAGCCCTGACCTGGATGATGGTTCGCTGCCTCTTGTCAAGCTTTGGAGTCTTCTCCTTAGTTGCACAGCGCTTTCACCACCGCAGCGCCTTACATGACTCATATGTGTCTGGGATCCATGTGGGGGAGGTGGCAGTAGGCGCAGGCGTTTCCGTTCTCGCAGTGCCCAGCCAAGAAGTAGATGCAAGGCCTGCGGCAGACCTGCCACCGACAAAGGCCACAGGCCACAGCCACACGCAGAGCGACGCACGGCAATCCGCCCTCAATCAAAGTGCACCGAAAGCATTTAGGCCGTTTAGGCCTCCGGGTGACCCAAGCTGCCGTGGCTCGGCAGCAGCTCAGCAACACGCCGATCGAGCGAACTGCTGCTGGGGGTTCCTGTCGATTAGGATATGTCTCTCATGCATGTGAGCTCACAAAGAGACCTTGCCTTCCATGAAGGTGGCAGGGCTGTCGTCTGTGTTGCTTGACTGCCCTGGGCTCCACTCACCTTCCAAGCGCGGCCAGCGAAGGTTCAGATTCAGGCAACTTGCTGCAAAGCGCCCTACAGTGACATCGCTGCGCGTGGCCTTCACTCTCGGGGGCCGCGGTGGATGCTGGGCTCGCATCGAGGACACTGCCGAAAGGGCTGTCTGCCTCGAGCACTGTGCCGAAGGCAGACATTCTTGCCATGGCGCTTGCTTGCCAGCAAGCCTTCTGGTGCAGTGCTCTTGCGAAACCGGCATCCCCTTGCTTCTGCTTCAGCATGTCCACGTAGCCTCGCATGGCCTTCTCCTCAGCAGTTTCAAACTCCCGAGACCCCTCGTTGGCCGTGATCCCGCCCCGTCCTCTTCGTGCGCGTCCATGCCCATGTCCATTGCGGAATGCCGGCCAGAAGTCGGAGGGCAGCTGCGAGAACGCGCCTGAGCGAGAGCTCCAGATGGAGGAATGCATTCAGAGCGCTCCCACCGCTGAGGACGAAACGTGCTGGGCCTCGGCTGGATCTTGCTCGTCCACGTCGATGAAAGTGAACTTGTACCTTGGACAAAGAACCTTCAAGCCTCCACCATATTTCCAGCTGATGACCTTAATGCCCCTCAAACTTCAGGCCGTCCACTGCAGCTCCAGAGCCATCGCAGTACCACACCTGCAATTGTCGAATGTCTAGCAGGCTTTTCAGGAGCAGACTCCGACTCCGGCCTGTCCAAGGCCTGTGAGAGCGCCCGAGAAAAAGAGTAGAAATGGCTGTGGCATGGGGTGCTCGGCGACGGCCCACCAATGGCATGCGGGCTAAGAGGCATCGGCACCCGTCAGTCCTTGCCATCGCCGGGCATGCATAAGCTTGTGGTGCGAACTCCTTTGGAAAACGTTTCCGGGATGTGGAAGAAGGGATCCGGATTCAGGGATTGCTGCCAAAAGAAAGCAGGATGAGGCAGAACTCTGCATAGCTGCATGATTGTCACTGGGCAGCGCGAGGGGCTTTTCTCGAATGAGAACTGCCCTTGGCAACGTTTTTCGGGCCGTACGCCCGCGCAGTGCATTTACTTCTCGGAGAAGTAATAGTGCTGGCCGACAGCGACCAACACAATCACAACAGCAAGGACGATTCGGCCCCTTGGGCTGAACATTGCTGAAAACATGCTCTTCACATGGCCCCAAAGTTTAAGGGCCTTCATCATGAAGGGCATTACCCTCGAAATCATTTTGGCTTGAGACTCACTGACCTCCATTCCTGCAGACTTGGCCATGCTCTGAAGCGCCTCCGGCGACATGTTCCTCGGACATTCGGGCCATTTCGGGGCCCCCTCGGGCTCTTTGTCGTCTCTGTCACATGGAGGAGCTGTCAAAGCCAAGGCTCTTCATCATTTCCTCTGCCGCCTTCATCATCTCCGGATCGTTCAGCATCTGTGACGGATCCGGCGTGCCGTCGCCTCCCGACTTCATCTTCCTAAGCTTGCGAAGCCCGAAGCAATGCTCAAGTTACGAACGGAATCTATGCTGACCCAGGTTCATGCTCATGTCCATCATCTTCTGCATCTGCTCCGGAGGAATGTTTTTCATCATGTTGGTCATGGCATCCATCCTAGGGAAGCAACACAGATCCCTGGGCAACACAGGGCGTTCTGTGCCAGAACCGCGGCGCAACTTGGGTGCATGTTCGGCAGAGCATCATCTCCGGATTCTCCGTCATCTTCTTCATGAGATCTGCCTCAGCTGTGAAGGGGGAGGGGGAGAGGAAGAAAGGGGAGGAGGAAAAGGCAAAAGGCCCGCGCCTCAGGCCCGGAGCCCTGGCCCATGGCACCGGCAGCAGCCATTGCAGACTTCATGGCCGCCGGATCCTTCATGAGGTCCTTAGCACGTCGCCAGTCACACACAGGCCCACGCCCAGGGCTGCCTGCTGCCTCGGCCTCTGCCTCTGCAGAAGCCAAGGGTCTCCCATCTTGCTGAAGTCCGGTGCCTGGGAACTCTCGACATGCTGGAAAGGAACGCTGGGATCTGCGCTCGGTTTCCGTGTTCTGCCGATTCACGGCCCCTCCGCCAGCCGCGGACTGCAGCATGCGCTTCCGCTCCTGCGAGTTTCGAACGGACGGAGACAAGACTCGGACACTGTGACTGCGGGGCCTCTTCCGGCATGGACGAGAGCGTGTCCATGGCCGTTTTCAGCATCTCTGGATTCTTTGAGACAGCCTCCCACCGCTCAACCCCAAAGCTCAAAAACTCACTCCCAGACATCACTTCAGGAGAGCTCGCACTCGGTCACGCTTCTCTTTTTCTGCACTCCTCCACTAGGGCCCTCGCCTCCATTCGCTTTCGTGCTGTCTCCTTGTCGACACCCGGAGGCAAGGGTGCGGAGGCCATCATTCGCTCGATGTCCTCTCTTCAGTGACAACCCTATTGTCAATGGCTGCAAGATGCTGTGAGCACATCGCATGAACTCTTCCCAAGCTCCCAAAGTTTCTGCTCGTCGGCTCCCTCCTCCGGGGACATATTCTTCATCATCTCCGTGGCCTGGGAGACCATCTCCGGGTTCTTGGAGATCTGCTCCATGGCCTCAAGCGGCTGCGAAGAAGCGAAGCGAAGCAACCACCGTAGCCCCCAACACGCCCCGGCAGCCCGAACCTGCTCGACGTTCTGGCCACCTGCACCCGGAAAGCCGCTCGAAGGCGCCGACGACGCGCTCGCCGCGACGGAGCCGGAGCCTCCCGAGCGGGCGCTGACTCAGCGCTGACTCAGCGCTCTCAGCCCGAGCATCCGAGCACGGCGGGCCGGGCCCGGCGGGCCTTTCTTGGCCGCCTCTTCGGCCTTCTGCTGGGCCGTCTCGATGGCCTCCGAAGACACGCCTGCAAAGGGGCCCGACAGAGTCTCGAGCGAGCGCGCCGTCTGTGCCGCGGCCTTTGCCCATGCAGTCCTTCTCCACCCGCTGCAATTCTGAGGCAATCGTCTTGTCCTGTAGCACACCATTGCAGCCGTCACGTCTCGGCATCCCTTCATGCTGAGCCCGTGTCATCTGGAGACAGCTTCGCTGCGAACCTCTAGATTTGCGTGCAACGCGGTTGCTTCGAAACACGCAGATCTTCTGAGGCTCAGGCTTGATGTCGGCCACGCCCTCAGCCAGTTGGCCAAGGTCCACTCGGGCCAGGCCGCGCCGGAAAAGCGCCTGGCCGCACCAGAGCATGCCTTCAGGAGCTCGGAGCTCTGCGAAAACCCTCAGCCTTGACGCTATGGCTGTTGATTTGGAGTGCTTCTTCGCATACCTCAGCGACAGCATGCCACAGCGCATCGCAGGATTTTACGCGCCGTAGGCAACGCTCAACAACAACCGGAGCAAGGAACCTCCACGCACCGCGCAGGATCACTCTGCTTTAAATGGCACATGGCAGAGTTCAGCATCAAGGACAACCGCAGCTGAGAGATGTCCTTAAGGGGAAAGCATGGATCGCAAGCACCGCGGTTGACGCACAGTGCCGCGCAGCACAGGCCAACCGAGTGGCATCTCCGGCAAAGGGCTTCAGATTCTCCAGAGCTTTGCTGTACGCTCTCAAAGCATCGGAATACTTCTGAGCCTTGGACAACGCTCGGCTCAGAGTCACAAGTCGGCCCCGGGGGGCGTCCCATGGCAGCCTTGATGTGGTCGTTGCCTTCATTTTTCAGCTGCATGGATGCATTGTACCTCACTCGGCGACGCAGGGCCAGCAGAAAAGCTCTTCAAGGGAAATGAACCCGCAGCCGAGGTGCATGTATTGCTTCTGGCCACCCATCTGCTGCTGTGCTTGACTCATACTCCTGAGCATTTGCCCAGGCGCAAGGCGGCGCAAGCGACTCAAGAGACGGCGAGGGAAAACCATTTGCCCAAGTTGCGGAACCCAAAATCAAATCAAGACTAATGCACGGCAGTTTCGACTTGAGCTCGTCAGGGCTCATCTGCCCTATCTTTTTCCTCAGTTACATCAGCTCAAGATGACATGCTCATCCTGCGAGTCTTTCGTCCGTGATGGCACTGTCGCTATGTTTTGCTGCACGGTATCATCTGTTCTTGCATCTGGCCTGAATCCATGGCCGGGGCATTGCCGCCCATATTCTTCATCATGCCCTCCTCAGCCCGTGAATTCGTACGCGAGTCCCATGGGTTCGGGGTTCAAAAGGACAGCTGGTTAGCAAACTGAGCAACCATGACGGAAGGGTCCATGTTGGCTGCCATCTGAGTCATTCTTTGCATGTCCTGCAGGGCGCCAGCTGCCATGGCAGGTAAACACTGTAAACGCATGGCGTCGCTTCTGCTCCGTGCCTCGGGGGACATGTTCGCCATCATCCCTTGTGCCGCCTTCAGCATCTCCGGGGAGAACATGGCGCTGCTCCGCTGCTCCTTCCACGCAGAGCTGAGCATAGCACAATGCCTAGCACTGCATAGCACCGCATAGCTGCATGATGCGTCCTGCAAGCTCACGGAGCCCAAGCGAAAAAGACTTCAAAAATCGGCGGAGTCCACGTTGGATAGTTGGGGATTGATCTCAAACTTGCTGCAAGTTCTGCACACTGCGGCTCAGATGGTGCAGGCTCGGGGACGTTTGGGCCGCTTGGGTGTGGGCTTTGGTGAGCTACACTGCTGCCCTCTATCGTCAGCTATGAGCCGAAATCGCAGCTCGTACAGTGGCGAGCTCGCATGAGCAGCTCGCTACAAGGCTAAGCAGAGGCTGCGCACGGAGTTCTTGCTGCTCCAACGCAGCGCAAGTCGCGAAGTCGTGCAGGAGATTCCCACCTTCAGGCCGCTAGGCAAGCAGTGCTGCCTGGGCCTGGGTTCCCTGAATCCGTTCCTCATGCAAGCTGATTGCGCTGATTCTGATTCGCGGCTTCGCGCTTTCAGAAACTGTCAGCATCTTCACACTTCCCCTGTCACAGCCCACTGACACTGGGAGCTGGAACAACGGAGCAGAAGAGATGACTTTGGCCAGCAGCGATGTCCAGCGACGCCTAGGGCCTTGCAAAGAAGGCCCTTCGGTCTTCTGCACATCGCCCTGGCGCTGTGAAAGACGATGGCTAGGGGCGGCGCGGCGCGAGCTCCGCGGCGCCGAGAGCGGAGTCCTCGGAGAGCTGCTCATCAGCTTCCAAGAGCGAGTTGGCGAGGGGGACCCCCGCCCTGCCCTCTCTGAGGCGATGATCCAAGGCAGTCACGAGACTTTGATTTGGCATTTCGTCAGCGAATCCACGAAGCTGTGAGATGCCACTTTCAGAAGACTGGGCCTCCCCAGCCCTTCCCACGACCATCTCTCTCTAATACTCGGAGGCTCATCCAAGTCTTGGTGGCGGATTCGCTGCTTCAACTGGTCGGAAGCCATCCCGCATGCTTACTTCAAGGAGGCAACAACTAGAGGATCTGGGTCAAATGCCACAAGGCTCTTAGCGGGAACCATTGCTGGGCACCTACTCGTCTCTAAGCATCTCTAGCTGTGAGCCGCGGGAGCCAAAACAGCCACGGGAGCCGTGCTGAGGCGAAGACGCGGAGACACAGACAGAACACTCCGCTCAAAGAAGGCCGCGCTGACACCCGCACCCACTGCACCCACCACTGCTGACACCAGGGCCGGGCCTCGACGGCCGCTGGAGCAGAACTGCCTCGGGGCAACACTCCCCTCTGCCGCCTCTGCCGCCTCTGCCTCCCGGTCTACGTCCGCTACGTCGCTACGAGGCCGGCAGCCCCGCCGTTTGACCTTCCTCCAAGCCTTTTCGACGCGAGCTCGAAGCGGGCTCGTCTACCCTCACAAACGTGGAACGACTCGGAGGCTTCGAACCATGCGATGGCCTCCAAGATGCAACTCGCTGAGTAGAGACGTCTCCAGCTGTGCGAGCTGCTGTGCCGAGATGGCCCTCCAGTCGCTGCTCGTGAGGAGAGCCTCCAAGTGCACGTCAGGGCCCGCACGCCGGCCTACCAGCTGCTGCACTTCGACGGAAGGCGGCTGCTCCTGAGCCTGAACCTTTGTGAGTGCCGCCTTTAGAGCTTCGTTGAACTCCTGGAGGTCCTGCCTGGGCAGCTGCATGTCGAGCAGTTCTGCAACAGACCTTCGGCCGATCCCAAAGGCGATTCGGATGATCACCGTGGAGACTAGGGCACCTGCAACAGGGTCGAAAGCGCTGTGCACGAACATCCGCCCCAAAACACCCAACAAGACAAGGCCAGAGCTCAAGGCGTCGCTGCGGTGGTGCCAAGCATTGGCCAAGAGTACGGAACTGTGCAGTCGGTCGGCAGCCCTGCGAGTGATGTGATACAGAGCCTCCTTGCCGGCAATGGTCGCCAAGCAGGTCCCCACTGCCACCTCGTTGACATGGCCATTTTCCAAGATCGGCGATGCCAGTGCGTGGCTGTGCATGTGGGAATGTCCGTGCGAGTGGGAATCCCCGTGCCCCTGGTGCTCGTCGCTACCTAGGTCGCCTATAGCCATGGCTTCGAGGAAGAGAGTGCTGGAGAAGCGCATGGCAGAGAGTCCCGTGCCCATCATGATTCCCGAAACTCCAAGGGCCGCCAGCGAGTCGAGCTTCCCCCGGCCAAAGGGGAAGTGCGGCGTGGCTGGGCCAATGGCCAGCTGGACCACACAGAGCGTAATGATGTCAGATAGGGAGTCCGTCAAAGTATGGATGGCATCACTCGTCAGAGCTGCAGACTTGCAATAATTCCCAGCGAAGTACTGGAGCACACCCAATAAGCAGTTGAAGCTGAACCCCAACAATGTCACTTTGATCGCTTCACCTTTGAGCTCTGACATTTCCGCACTGTGGCTGTGATCATGACAGCCCAAGACATGCAGGTGGCTCTGACTTTCGCCATGCTGTCCGTGTGCATGACTGTGTCCACTATGGCTGTGGCCAAGCTCATGCTCGTTGCCCCCGTGCCCGTGGCTGCCGGGGCTGTGCCGGTGTGGGCGACCAGGGTGAGGGTGAGGGTGCCCAGGGCCGGGCCCGCGCTTCCCGTGGCTGTGGGAGTGGCCTTGATCCTCGCATCCCTCTCCCTCGCCGCCCTCGCCGCCCTCGCCATGCCCATGTGCACGCAGGCCACTGTGATGGCTTCGGTCACGCAAAAGACTGGTCGCACACACCCCCTTGGCCCAGCCCCTGCCGCCCGCTGCCACCACTGCCACGACCGGCCGCCTGAGCCTTCTTGCAGCAAGCCTCGAAACGAGAGACATCACGCTGGATGCATGGTACCAGGGCCATCTAGAATCTACAATGTTTGTGCTGTCAAAGCCCCAAGCAAAGTTCACGATATGAACGACACATGCTGATTTCTTGACTGCGCTGCAGTGGTCTGTCAACTACCCTCCGCCTGTGATTTGACAGTCCTCAGCATGCTGCAATTATTGAGAAACCTGCATTCAAACGATACAGACTGGTTAAGCGTGCTCTAGCGGACTTCAAATTATCTCGTAGTTTGAACATTGGCCATCATGCCGCGGTCGCCTCAGAGCCAAAATGCAGCGTGCAAGGGGCATGGGAAAACTTCCTGAAACGCTGTCAGCCTGAATCACCAATCATGTTCCAGCACGTCTGAAAGGATCCTGCCATCATTGCAAAACGATGGCGCCTCGGTTGCCATCACAGATGGCTTGTCCCTGCCAGTCAGACTTCAAAAATCAGAGCAACTGTTTGTTATTGGCCATTGATTGATGAGGCTTCGGCCACCTTGTTGCACGTACTTGGAAAGCAACCACTTCTATCGAATCCGGGATGCATGCAAGATCTGATCGCACATCGAACTGTATATGGGTTGGAATGGTGGCGAACCTCGGATCGCTAAGAAAAGAGGCTATCGCAGTCGTGGTCTCACTGCAGCAGCGACTTGGGCTAAGAGGTCAGGGCTGGGGATCCATACCGAAGCAAAAGAAGGGACCTGAAGGCTCGACTTGCCGACGTCGTTGCGCAGAAAACCTGCGTTTGTTGCGACCAGCACACTCCTACTGTACATCTGCCAACACGACGGCCGCCGCGCCTGCATAGGAGAATATTCGGCTGCTCTGCCCGGCGGCAGCGTCATTTTAGCAACTTATGCTGGGACATCCGAGACGCTACACAGTTCGATGCGTCAGGTTTGGTCTGTTCTGCTTGTTGGCGTCGGTTGTTGCCAACCGTGTCCTGGCCAGCACTGACCCGAGCAGACGTGGCAAAAATGATCAATGCTGCAAACCACCAAGGTGCTCACTCGGCAAACTCCGAAAATCGACTGCATCGGAACGTTACGAACCACAGTTTCGAAACGACATCTACATGCTTTGTGCCACTCGCTTGATCTGCAGCGATAAATCCTTATTTCCAAGTCCACAAACGCATAAACAAATTCGTCGTTATTTGGGGAAGTCACGCAATATAGGTTCGTATGAAATATTCAATCAGACATGTGAGACTGCGATGCATTCACTCGGACCCCTCCTTCTTTTTATCGGATAAGCCCGACGTGCCGTGGGGAATATCGAATGCTAAAGGTGTTGATGTCTGTCCCAAGGTCAAGCTTCCAAAGCTCGGCCAAGGGCCACGACTCCTTCAACGCACAATTTGAAGTGCACCCGAACTTCCCCCCAGGGCGGGCGGGCGGGACAAAAATTTGCACACATGTGCTTGAAAGGAGCGCGCGCGGGAGACATGTTGTTCAACTGCCATGCAACAAGCGAGTCCATGGAAAATTCAAAAGTTTGAGAAGGTTTCCCAAATACCCGCCCGAAGAGTTCATGCTCAATCGTTTCTCAAGGAGACAACGATCGTTGTGAAAATGGAAATAAGGTGAAAATCACAAGTGATGTGGTCACTTATTTCCAAGTCCACAAACGCATAAACAAATTCGTCGTTATTTGGGGAAGTCACGCAATATAGGTTCGTATGAAATATTCAATCAGACATGTGAGACTGCGATGCATTCACTCGGACCCCTCTTTCTTTTATCGGATAAGCTCGAAGTGCCGTGGGGAATATCGAATGCTAAAGGTGTTGATGTCTGTCCCAAGGTCAAGCTTCCAAAGCTCGGCCAAGGGCCACGACTCCTTCAACGCACAGTTTGAAGTGCACCCGAACTTCCCCCATTGATGTGCACTTCAGCTCGCCTCCGAAAGCATGCTAAAGCAAACTGCCTAAACTAACATCGTCCTGCCGTGCACCTTGTCTGATCAAGTGGTCCACAATCTGACGACTAGGCGCATCTGCCGGGTTCGAGTGAGTAGGCACTCTCCCAAACCACGGCCTAGTCAAGTTGTCATGTTCCAGAGATAAGACTTGTTGTAGAAGTCGCCGTCCGTTCTTTGTTCCAGAGCGGCCAGCAATTAACGCGGATTGCGCAGCTTCGTTGGCTAAGTAGAAGGTGCTGAAGGTGTCTTTCAACACCCCAGCCCATAGCCGGAACGCCACAAGAACCGCGTAGAGTTCGACTTCATATATTGGATGCTCAGATTCGGCCTCCAAAACATCCAAGTCTGACTTGGGGACCTCGGAACTGAAGAAAGCAAGCGGAGAGCCAGAAGCATCGTAAATGACTCCTCCTATGCCAGCCACAACTTCAGCACCAGGTTCGTAGGATCCATCTGTGAACACAAAGAGCTCTCTTCCCGAAGTTTGCCTCAATTCCAAGGGTCTCGAGGTGTTGACGTGTTCCAGCAAGGTTCGCAGCGCCCATTCAAGTTCAGCGCCAAGCTCCGACGAGCCGTCAATTCCCCTGGCCCTCAAAGACATTTGATGCATGGCTTCGCAAGGCGCCCTCCCGAAGAGGTAAGAAGAATACCAATGCATGCGTCCTCGGAGAACCTCAGCTTCCTTGGAGCTAAGTTTGCCCATCAGCAAGATGTTCCCAAGGACGTCCTTCACCTCAGCCCTTCTCTCGACGGTATGGGTAATCGAGATGATCCCATTCTGGAACTCTGACAAGTCAAAGGCCAAACCCAATGCATTGAACACAGCATCAAATTTAGTTGCCTTCTTTCCTTCTTTGGCGTACTGGACCCCTAGAGCCTCAAAGACTTCGTCTGCAAGTTCATCAATCTGCTCCTCCATTCCATCGCACGACAGCAAAGGAAAATCGTCAAAGTAAGCACACCATCCCAGTCCCATGTCCCGGACGCCAGTGTGCCAGATGGCAGCAGAAACCCGAAGGAATCCCGCCACGCTTCCGGTGGCCCCGAACGGCAGGACGTTCGTTCCATCAACACGTGGTGTCTTGCTGTCGGTGTCGAACACGCCAATTCTCAAGTGCAGCCGATCAAGAGGATGCACCGGGTAAAACTTGTAAGCAGAGACAAGATCTATCGTTTTTCCAACCAATCGGCGTAGCTTGTCTGTTGGCATGTTCAACAGTTCAAAGAAAACTGCTGCAAGAACGTCAACCCCGTGCAAGGTAAATCTCTCCGGCAGCCCACAAGCCATGTTCAGGCCACAGTCCTTTCCGTTGTCAATGACCCGAACTTTGTTTTTCTGCTCCAGTCCAAACCGGTGAGCCAAAACAATGTTGTTGAAGTCTGGGTCGGTGTCCTCGAAGATCCATCCTTTGCGCTCCTCCTCAAGAGTTTCGGCCCACACCTTTTCAGCCGTCTCATCGGGTTTGGTACTCGCTATTAGACTCGCTATACGTCTCATGGTCATGGGAGACCGGTAGGACGATTGGGCCAGCAAGTTTTCCAACGAAGATTCAGGGGCCTTGACGCGGGGCTTGAAGATTCCAGTCTCCCTCATCCATCCGGTCAATCGGAAACCATCACGCAAGTCTGCCCAGAGCATCTTGTCGGGAAACCCATTTCGCTCAAGAATTCGTTTCCATGCAAGAACGTTCTTCCCTTCCAATGCCTTCGCCAGGTACGTGGGCTTTTGTTTCATGAAAGCAGCATTCATAGCGGCCGACTCTTCGGCAATCTTCTTCCATGCACCCCTGGATTCCTCAGCCCGTCTTCGGCGTTCATCCGCCGGCATAACCACGTTGGCTGCGATTTCTTTTGCAGGACCTTGACGATTGACAAGTATCGCATTGCGAGGGTGTCCAGCAAGAACGGCAGCCTTAACGAAGTCCTCGGGCTCGCGCGGAATGCCAATGGTAAGGATCTCTGCTTGGGTGGCGCAAGGTTTGTCATCACACACCATCCCAACCACCTCGTACACTTCATTCTTGTCCTCACCAGCAATCGAAGAGAAATCCGCAAGGTTATGGTATGCGATCCTTGCCGCCACACCCAGTAGCTCGGAGGATTCCCTTCTGTCAAAGCCAGCATAAGCTGAGACAGCGCAAACCCGCACCGCTCCCCATGGCACCAGTCTGCGCTGCGTAACACGGGCGCCTTTGGGGTAGCACTGCAAAATAGGGTCGGCAGCGTGAGCGGACCGTACAGGCACGGCCCAAGAGTCATAAGCATTGTAGCAGGAGACCAGGGGTCGCGCGTATTTCGGTTGCCGTTGCAGTGCCAATTGTTCACAAGCACGCGGCTGTTGAGCAGTGGAAGCCATAATCGTCCGCCAGTATGTAAAGCATGCGCTCACAAAGCAGCCAAGGGTAGGCGGCCTCCTGGGCAGTCGGGAACTGCCAACGCCCATCCAAAAAGCGAGGCTTCCAGGATGCGTGTTTATGGTCTCTGGAGCAGCGCAAGGCAAGTGATTGGTAACGCGAGTCGGAGCACCAGAACAAAGTGGTTTTGTCACGATCGCCACCATGCATGCAAGCGTCGAAGATGAGCTGGTAACTGTCCGCCCGTCGGCAGAGATGATCCAAACCATCGCAGAGCCAGAACAAGCTGTTGAGCGGGTTTTCCACTGCAGCAAAGATATGAAGCTGCAAGGCGAGGTCCACAATGCGGCCCACAGCACGGTATAATTTGTTGGCCGCCATCACGCGCTCGGCATCGGCACCCGTCAGCGTAGAGAGACCTTGTGGCTCAGTCAGACTGCGCAGCGGCTTGGGCACCGGGCAGCCGTGGCGCTCGGCTGAGGGCAACGGCCTCGAGCGTGCAGCAGAAGCCGTACTTCTTTGTACTTTGTATGACGCAAACTGTCCGGCAGTCTCGCGCTACGCTACAATGCACAGTGGCATCGGCTCAGAGTGAGCAAATGCAGTGAATCCCACCGGGCTAGCCACATGTGGGCAGACACTGCAGGAGTGGTTCTAAAACCAACGTCAGCATTAACAAAGGTGAGACAGAGCACAAGTCAGAGGGCATCGATCTAACCAGACGAACTGGACTACTCGATCGTATATACACATTGGTCTAACCAGACGTACTGGACTACTAGACCTTTGTACACATGGCATCGGTCTAACCAGACAGACTGGACTACTCGACCGCATGTACATGTACAAAAGAGTCCCAAGTCGGAAGCAGACCATTGGTAAAGCAACACCATATATACCAGGGGCACCATACAGAAGATTGAAGAGCATTTGATCGAAGGCAGGTGCATAGCATAGTCCACCAAACTTGGAAAGCCATGCCATCAAATAAGCAGCCGCTGAACTGTCATACCATAGTGCCATACCTGGCCAGTATATATAGCCAGTGAAGAACCATGGTCATGGTGGCGGTGGGATCATCCAGCTGCATACGTCGACATGCCGTCGTGTATAGCTCCTCAAAGAAATCCTCTCGATAGGTACCCACTAGCAGCTGCTGAAAATAACGTATCGCACCAGACATGGAGAGCTGATAAACATTGCGATGTAGCTGCTTGAGAAGTGTCCTTTTCCACTCAACGTCCGTACATGGAGCCTGTTCAAAGTAGTAATAAATGCCCCACTCAACAATGTCCACGGCAGAAAAACCCCACTGATGCAGAAATTTAGCAAGTTGGTGAGGAGCAAGAAGTTGAGACGCAGGCTGATCCGCCCAGGTATGTAGCATAGCCACCGTTATACTAGAGATATGCTCGTTGCCCCGGCTCCGAAGACCGTGCGGCACATCATCAAGTGAGTCAGATTGAACTGGAGCCCAGACAGATGGCTGCGCAGAATTTCTGTGTGGACTGTTGTTGGTGATCGCCTGTGCCTGAAAATTGGTTGGCGTGCATCGGTCCCGAAGACAATATGGCACATCATCCAGTGAATTGTAGGTGCCTCTGGCATCCATCCACTGAGCATGCTGTCTGGACTGATAAATACCAAAAGGCACGTCATGAAGTAAATCAAAGGGCATCCGTGTAGCCCCAATGCTCGTACCCGTTCCGGATGCTGACGGTGCCTCCACTGAAGTGTGGGTTGCCATGAAAAAGTACAAGCATAATGACCTGCACACATGTCCAAGATAAAAACTGGCAAAATGCATGAGATCAGCCAGAAAGGGGCGACGGAGCAAATTGCCACGGATGCAAGTCAAGGCCTTCAACCAAAGAGCATATTGCAACTCTCACGCGAATGCAGCTGTTTTGGACAGTATCGCACCTGACCTAATCGCATGGCTCGGCTAGGGTCGCCCTGACACTTGGAACGCAGGTCACACTGCAGCTACAGTGTGCTCGCTGAAGGTCCAGACGAAGTCTGGACAAACCCCACGCACTCCAGGAAGATCAAATAAACTTCAGTCATCAGAATACGGAGCTGTGCATTTGTAGGGCGACGCGCCATACAGGCATCATCTGTATAATACAACGTGGGATCTTCCCGGGTGGACTCCCAATGAATCAGCAGCGTTCTGTAGCGACCTGAGCGTGGGGTGGAACCGTGATGGCCTATAAGGGCTCGGAGCCTATACAGACGCCAAGTTGGCCGCTGTCCAAACTCAGTTTGATATACCGGCAATCGTACCTGAAGCGGAATCTCTGATCCTTGCGAATCCTGGTACCTACTGTGTAGAAGCGAAGAAGCTGCAGGCACACAAACCGGGGTAACGGCCAGAGCCCTGGCGGAGGAGACTGCTGAGCCCATGCTTGTATCAGCCCTGGCAGCTGAATGTCCGAAGTTGAGGCACGAGAAGGCATCGGAAGCATAACGAGGTGCTGACCCTCATCAGTTGAGAATCCTGATTCATCGCGGGACTGCCAAGTACTCAATGGAAGCACATTCGAAACCGGCCACGTACGAGCAAGAACATGTTGTGCAAACTCTGCCACATCCTGTTGTCGGTCGTAATGTGGCCATTCCTGAATCAATGCCTGAAAAGCTGGGTGATCAGGCAGACACAGCAACTTGAGAGCATGCTGGCAGATATAACACAAGATCTGAAATAGAGCCTGGGCATGATCAGAGATCGAGACCTCACCAAATAGCCATGCAAGCGCCAGAAAGAAAGAGTTGGCATAACAAATGTTATGTGGATTTCGCAACCGGCACGATAGGACCTGCCTCGCAGCCACTCCTGTAGATGATCCTGAAGCTGAGAGCGCTTGGCTCGCTGTGGTCGAATACGTGCGCCGACTGCTTCCATAGCCGAGCAGTCCACCAATGCCCTCATACTCTGATGCAGACGGCACGCACTCGGTTTGAGCGAGATGTCCAGCAGGAATGGAAGGGTGGGACCCATCTGTCCTTCTTCCAAGGCTTTGGTCGCCTGAAAACGTGTGATGTGGTCCTGATTGTTCAGTCCCTGCAGGGCTTATTTGGCTTACCCAGAAAGACCAGCCAAGACCGAGCAATGTCCTCATCACCCACGTGCTCTCCAGCACCCCAATGCTGCACTAAATATTCCTGTAGAAGGGGAGCAATGTCAGAAGCACAAGTACGCCAGCTGCAGAGCGGAGCCGAAGTTGCGCATTGATAGCTTACTGATAGCCTTCTCCACTTCCTGTGTGGTAATGTGTAGTCAGTGTAGTCCATGCCATAGATATCCGGAGCATTTGGGGAGTGTCGGAACATCAAAACACCACGCCAGTAGTTGTGAATCAGTCCAATTTCCTCCGTTGGTGTGCATAATGTGCCGTCTTTATTTCGCATCATGATACGCTGTCGAGGACGACGAGGTGCGAGTCGACGCGCAGCCGCAAAGAAGGAATGAGAATCATGCTTGTGATATGCATCCTCCGCTTCTGCGAGCTGTTGATCCCATTTATCTCGGCGTGCTTTATTGGACTGCGAGTGCAGCGCCTTGCGGGCTTTGACAAATCGCCATTGAGCACGCCAAAGATGAAAAGCAACCCGAAGTGGTCGCCCGAGGGTGCATCTGCGAAGTTGTGCTCTTGCCTGCCATACATGTCGAAGCGAAAGCTTGGTCTGTTCGTTATCCCAGACTTCGGTCGGGCGAGAGCTGAGGCGAGTGCCCGGGAAGAGTTCTTGAGACCCTTGTCGCAGGATGGCATCAATTTGCATGGGATGCATGACGGCATCCACTGGCTGGTCCTGTAAAGCACGAGTCAAATGGTTCCTGACAACACTCCTCAGTTTTTCAGCTTGCTGAGGATCCTGCAGTAGCACGTGAGCCATACCCAGATGATCCATACGAGCGGTTTTGGACTTGGGGGAGGGATCCACTGCCTGATGATACGGATTCTTGAGAGTAACAACCGAATACACAGGCAGATGTCGGGCTCCGGACCTCCACGAAAATAAGTGAATCTGTGACTGCGGCCTGGAGAGTTTGGCACGATGTCCAGCATCGCGCTCCCTGACACCCAGGAAGTCAATGAGTGTAGAGTAGTCCGCGCCCACATATGTGGCTGTTTTGCCCGGCGGTCCCCACGTGTTCAGAAGACAGAGGCGGTGCTGTTGTACTATGCCCTGCCACTCATGCTGATCCTGTGCAGGGTTGGTACTAACTGGAGCACCCATTCCAACGAGCCTCGGCATCGGAGAGATCCCAGTATTAATATCCCCACCAAGAATCAGAGTGTGCCGAGCCGGCACTGCATCCAGACATTTCTGGAGCTTCTCCAAGAACTTTAATCGTTTTGCATAAACTTCAGGACTGTGGGAGATTCTTGAGTGTTGGTAGGCACATACCAGAGTGATGGGTCGATGTAGGAGAGGTCGTCGTTTGTCCTCCGTGATGCGAACCTCCAGAAGACGGCCTGGGACCCATTCTTGGTAGCGAATATGGGATGAGGAAGCAAGCTTGTTATTGACCAGTACGGCTACACCACTGCCATTGTTGGCCTTAGCAGTCTGACCTGCACCTGACAGGGTCCAGTGCCAATGCTGCGTGGAAAACTCTGAAGCACTGCGCCAGGTCTCCTGTAAGAACACAATCTGAACATTGCGAAGTGTGGAGGGCTGGTTCAGCCACTGTGCCAATTCATCATATCCCTCCTTGCTCAGGCCGCCAACATTAATAGTCACCAAACCAATATCACTGGACTGTATGGGAGTGACAGGTCGTGTAGACTGTTGAAGGGGCCATGAGGGCAGGCTTGGTACAGCGGTGCGAGGTCGGCCATAGCGTGCCTGATTAGGACCAGGCGACGTTGAGTTGGGACGGAGTGGCATAGGTTTCAGCTCATCGTGATGGGTGTATAGACGATTGCGATACCATGCGGTCCCATGCTGTTGCAATCGACGTTGTGCTCTGAGAAAACTGCGTTTGACGATAAAGTCTCCTTGTGTTGTGCATTGTCGGTGTGGCTTCGCCTTGAGGCGGCCAGGGAGCACCGGTTGCGCGGCTCCCGGAGCACCCACCGAAGGTGCTCCAACCCTCGCTTCTACCCCTGAGGCTCCAAGGAGTTGGTACAGTAGGATAAGCATCCATAGTCCCCAGGGGCCCCCGGACTTGGGACCGGGGCGGCAATAGCGAACTGGTGGGGGGGCGTTTTGGAGTACTGTAGTGCCAAATAACCTGATGTAGAAAATCGTGCAGGTGTAGAGGCAGCCACATACATAGCAGCACTGGATATGCAGGCACCGCGTCCAGTAGGAGGCATGTTGTACACAGTATGTACCTGGCAACAGACGTGTCGGATGACATGCAAGGCAATGCTGGCACAAGCAGAAGCCGTGTACTTTTGTACTTTGTATGACGCAAACTGTCCAGCAGTCTCGCGCTACGCTACAATGCACAGTGGCATCGGAGCAGAAGCCGTGCCGCAAGGCGGCGCCAAATGGATCCAAGCAATGTTGTGAGCCTCCAGGTTGGTGATGTCCAGCAACGTTTGCACGTCGTGGTCCAGCGTGAGGTCGAGTCGCTGTATGGAAAAGTTGCTCCGCTGTGAGGATCTATCCACGGCCAGTGTACGGAAACCCATGCGCCCAGCCACAGTACTGAGTCTGGCAGTGCCGGCAAAAACTTCGATGACCAGTGGAGCCAGATTGTGCGGGAAGACCTCCTGGCAAGGGGGTCAGAGGATTCAGTCGGGAGCGGCGGTTCCTGCGAAGCTTGGGCAGAGTGCAGCGGAAGTGCCGGTCGATAGGCCACACGGCGTCGCTTGACAGCCGCGCTGTTCGTTGCAGTTGAATCATGTGACGGCGTCATCGTTGGAGAGGTAGGCGTCGAAGCAGATTTTGAAGGCGGTGGAGCCGTTGTAGATACCTGGCCGTCAATCATAGAAGGCAGCTCGGGCGGGTTGTGGTCGGGCAGTGTAAAACCAGAGTCCCGCAGCCAGTGGCAGTCTCGAGGACTGAGTCGTTGTGTATCACGAACACAGAAACCAACCACCAGCAGGCGGTCACCCGTCCAGGAACAAGTAGCGTGCAAGCGCTCAGAGGGGAGGCGCTGTGGCCCCGCTGCAACATCCAAGAGGTAGCCAAGGCGCTTGGCGGACGGATCAGGGCATGGGTGCTGCCCCCGACCTTCCACCCAAATCTGCCCCTCGGAGAAATGCAAGGCAGGCAAAATAGCAGATTGCAATGTCGGTGGTCATAGTTGCGGTCTGAATGAAGCGGCGCCTTCAAGTTGAAGAAAAGACCCACCGAAGAAAAGCATGCGTCAGGAAATTCACTCGCCAACACACGAGCAAGCAATTGTGTCGCAAAAGGAAGAGAAAAACAATTTGATCGAAGCCCGTTCTTGTCGTGGTGCACGTAGGCTCCAGAAGTAAAAGATGTAGGATCCGCAGAAGTAACAGGTTGGCCTGAAGTTGCTCCCAGTGAATCCGCAGGCAGGCAAGCACTCAGCTCGCGCAGCTGCGCAAGACTTGCGAAGCCAAGGCGTAGGCACTGGGCGGCCAGCACCTCAGCAGGAGAATGGCCCCTGCGCCTCCACACGCACAGGAGAAAAAGTGTAGCCCAGCTCATCGGTGTCAGAGCCAGTAATCCGGCCAGCCTCGACAAGGCCCGGGCTCACATCCGAGAGTCACTCCTTGGTCTTGCCCTTGCCAGCACCCTTCCAAGTGCGAGCACGGCAATAACGGCTGCCGATTTAGGGATCACGATTAGGATTCGGTAGCTCGGCTTGAGGTGCTCACACTTAAGAAGTACCAAGCAGTGCACTCACACTCCGCACGGCCTCTGTTGTTTTTCTCACCAGCGGTGACGAGGGGTACCTTGTTCAAAGAGGCATTTAGCCTCACACCACACCTGCAACTACGGATGGCGGAACGATCGTCGCCTGGCAGAACAATCATCGCCTGCAAAAGAGAGTGAAAACCATATCAAGAATTTTCCCCTTCTTAGCCGTTATTATTATTTTCTTTTGATACGTTGTTCTCGCACGGGAAGTGTGGCACGGTGCAGCCTGACACGTGAAGCTCTTAAGCACCTCACGCGAAGGCGTGTCTGCTATGCTCGCTGGCGATGGTACGCGAGCGGACCAGGACAACGTCTTGGCTAAGGATTCCACTGTTAAGAGGGGCGATGCTAGCGCCTTGCCCACATCATTTCATGATGTGCCACTGATTGACACGTCTCGAGCGAGTTATTGTCCACATAAATCACAGTAGGCTTCCCTTTCAGCCAATCTCTCCAAAGGACATGCGCGATCACGATTGTAGCAAGTTCCGCTCGAAGACGATGGTCTTGGATCTGCCCTCTACTCTACTAGAAGACGTTTTGAAACCCAGACAACTCCTCGGAGGAAAATCCAAGGGGGGCGGCCTATATGGTCGAAGCGGACTCCGCGTATGCCGCAGAATGTACCTCCGTCCATCTCGAAGTACGAAGCATCAGTGAAGATGAGCGCAGGCTCTGCTGACACATCCCTCAGCACACATGGCCAGTTGGCCTCAAGCAGGTCGGCGAACTGAAGCATGGCTTGCTTCGCATCATCGCTGAGTTTTGCTTTTTGTCGAGCAGCTTTCACCGGCGAGGGCAGACACACACAACCGACATGCCCTTCCGAAGAGCTGGCCCCTTGCAAAGACTATGCGACCCCGAATACGAGATAGGTCTTTCTGGGTGAGGTCGGAATCATCGACCGCGCGGCGCAGCGTGGCCGCAACCACCAAGATGCGCTTTTCTGTGTTATGGAACAGAACTTCCCTTTGCAAGAAACGTTCGAAACGGATTCGCACCCTCAAGGCCGCAAAACGTTCAGCAAAGGGTTTGCCCTTGTTTTCGGAGACCTTCCACCCCTCTCTCTCTCTCTCTCTCTCTCTCTCTCTCTCTCTCTCTCTCTCTCTCTCTCTCTCTCTCTCTCTCTCTCTCTCTCTCTCTCTCTCTCTCTCTCTCAGTCGCGCAGAGCAAGTCCACAAGTGAGACTACTCGTCAGCAGCCCTTTCAGCTGATTAACGCAAAACTTCTAACTGAGCCCAGGATCTACGGTTTTGAGCTAACGGCTGTAGGGTCCTCCAAAGGTCAGTATTACCAAAAAATCTGGAATGGGCAGCAGCCACCTCTCTTTCTGTAGGATGGTGATAGATATCGTGGTGTATTTGGTAGGGGCGGGGAATAGGGGAATTCGAGGAAAGTATTTGATAGCGTTGGTACGCTTGCGTCATGGTCAATTCGGCCCAATGTATGCGAGGGTGGCCAGGTCTTTTCCTATGGAGGCGTCTGTAGGCATGTGCTGTTTGGTAGGTGGAGATGTGTTCGATTGAATCTTCATGTCTGAGGATATGTCCGAGATAAGAGATCCGGGATGAAATGATATTCTGTGATGGAGATAGAAGTTTGGGGGCGTACTCATAGGCAAGCTGGGATAAATATTCGTTGGAGCATTCTGCCTCCGATGGTTCCAAGATTTTATGATAAAAGGAACTTTTGATGTTGAAGATCTGTCTAAGGACCTTGTAGTGTAGCTTGTTCAGTTTAGTGAGGTCAGGTTGTAAATACATCTGCGATTCCGAGCCATACAGAAGGATGGCCAACACGATCTGGGAATGAACTAGCAGCTTTCGCTTAATGGTTATGGAGGGGTGCCTAAAGAAGTCATGTAGACATTTGGCCGCGTGCGAGGCCTGCGCATATCGCTTTTTAGCGTCCGCTTTGGCGGCTGAGTTATGAGTTAGAACAGCTCCTAAGTAATCGGCGTGGGGTTTAGGATCTATGCGGAGTTCTTGGGGTAGCTGTGGGTTGCTTCTCATGCAACAGAAGTCACATTGGCAAGGGTGGGTTGTGGTATCGGTTAGGTATATGGGCAAATCAGTGTTGATACAGAGAAGCTGGCACTTCTCGTGATTCAAGGACATGCCCCTTTTGTAAGAGTGGGCCTGTAATGTGTGAAGAAAACGGTGTAGGGACAGTCTCGTGCGAGATAATAAAACTGTATCGTCGGCGTACTCTATATCTGTAAGGCGAAAATCGGTAGTAAGTACTGAAGGTCGGGGGCCATACTCTGCCACGTACGCTGTGTACGTATCATGAAAAAGCACTGAAAGGATAATGATAAACAAATACGGCGATAAGGGGCATCCCTGGCGGATGCCCTGGGCGAAGGCTTGCGGGCGGGACGTATAGCCCGCGTCCTTCACTCGAAAATGACAGTCTTCGTATATTGACAGTACCGGATTAATGAATGTATCGGGGAGACCTACTCGCTGCAGTGCGTTGCGCAACGCTGGGTGGGAGACTGAGTCAAAAGCCTGTGACCAATCAAGGAACAGAGCATAGAAGGATTCCTGGTGTCGCTCATGTAATTCAAGCAATCGTCGAAGGACGAATAGAGGCGTAGAGGTGGATTTGCCGGTTCTAAAACCGAACTGAACCGGCGAGATACGGTCATCAATAGCCGTTTTTAATCTGTCATGGAGAAGACAAGCATACAACTTGCAAACCGTGTTGATCAATGAGATGGGGCGGTAGCTTGTAGGGAGAGTGGGGTCTTTCTTTTTACCCTTAAAGATCATCACTATGTCTGCCACCTTCCAGGATTTAGGCGAGATTGCCTGCGTAAAGGTTTTGTTAAAGTGCGCCAGTAGCGCAACATGAACCGATCTAGGCGCGAACTTCCAAATTTCCGCCGGCAATTGATCGGGGCCAGGGGCTTTGCGATTCTTGAGGCGCGCCAGCGCCCTTAATAATTCGGGTTCCGTAAATGGACTGGTGTCAATGGGAGCCGGGGGGAAAATAGGTTCGGAAGGGAGTTCTGGGAGGTTTCTGTGATTCCAGACTTTAGTGGCTAAATGGCTAGCCAAGACATCGGGTTTAGCGGCTTTGGTGGACATCTGGCCATTAGGTTTGCGAATTCCTTGGGTTCTTGGTGTGTAGTCCTTACGCAGAAATTTGAGAGTGGACCATTGCTTTGAGGGGGGGCCTTTAGAGTCTTGGAGCAGGTTATCGCACAGGTGTTGTTTTTTGTCTTTACGGGCACGTCGTTTGATGGCTTTTCGGAGTTTTTGCAAAGCTTCGTGGTCATCCGGGGAGGTCGAGGAAATGCGATCGATGAGTCGTTTGGTCGGTTCCGATAAGTATTCTTTATGGTAGGTGCGTTCCTGTTTAGTGCGGGGCGCTATCTTCAGCGCAGCTTCCTGGAGCGCTGTGGCTTGTTCTTCCACCGAAAGCTTCTCGAATAGGGGTGGGGCGGAAAGACGTATGGTATCGCTCAAAGGTTGTCGGGGAGGGTAGGAATGCCTCCCGATTGTGGAGAAGGAGGTAACTCCTTTCTTGGCTAAGGTGTCGGCGCGTTCGTTTCCGTCGTGGCCCGAATGTCCTTTGATTTTCAGTAGCGATACGGTGATACTGGAGAGAAGGTGGTCCAGGAGGATGCGTAATTTGGTTAAGAGTTGAAGGTGTTGCGTGGGTATGGAAAGGCCATGGAGAAAATCGTAAGCGAGCTGGGAATCGGTATAAACGTTAAGAGCAGAAATCGAGAGATGGGTTTTGTGTCTGGCGACATAATCCAGTGCCTCTAATAGGGCCTGTAGCTCGGCGGTATTGTTAGAGCCCACGACTTGGAGCTCTAAGTTGTGGCCCACTGGGCCCCATGAGTCAGTCCAGGTATTGTTGTGATGGATTGTGAAGCCCCATCCGGCTGGATTGCCTACTCGAACATTATATTGATCAGGGCAAGCACCGTCTGTGTATACGCAAGGCGCGTCCAACACAGGGGCAGTGCCTAAGAAGTGGACTGGTTGTTGCGTTACGTGTGCAAATGCTTCCGCGAATTCTCGCTTAAATTTGAGTTGGTCGTCTTTGGTTCGAGGAGGCGTGATTTTAGGTGGCGGAGGTTTAGGGGGTTTTTGAAACTTGTCAAAGGTGATCGTGAATGAAAGTGGGTAGTGGCGGTGAAACCACGGTAGTTTCCAACTGGTCCTGGTGGACGCGGCTTTGATGTTGTGCAGTGACGTCATGGGCGCCAACACATGATCAAGGCAAGAGAAGTCTGTGTTGTCTGGTTGTGTGGGAGATGCCTCCGGGGAGGACGCGATCTCCCTATATGAAACGATCTGGGAAGCCGGGCGCGTGTGGAAGGATGATGCGATCAAGTAGTCATTGTGTACCAAAAAAAGTCCAGCAGCTTGAAATAATTGGTGGTATACGTGTCGTCCGCAGGGGCGTCGCTTAAGAAGACTGCTTTACCGATATGTGCCGAAAATTCTTCCAATTCCGTCGGAATAATTCTTGCGTTAAGATCTCCCATATAAAGAATCAAGGAAGGGCGAGGAAGATTGCGATGGATTTCTTGGAGATCGTCCCAAAATTTTTCTTTTCGGGCTTCATCGGCGTGGGGGTCCGAGAGCTGACTAGGCGCATATAGCGTTACTAGATGAGTCGGGATTGGCTGTGTGCGTAGGGTCAGGGCCGCTATGCGGCCCGAAAAAGGAAGAAAGTCGGATACCAGCGGTATGCGGTGGGCAGGGATGTAAAAGCCCACCCCTGCCATGTGCTCCGTGGGCGTGCCCGAAAGGAGGAGTTTACCTCCGCCTATTCTACGTTCGTCTGAAGAAGTGGACTTCGTCTCCTGTAATGCCAGGATATCAATCTTCCTTTGTCGCGCGAAGCCCGCTAGGGCTTCCTGTTTCCCATGTCCAATTAGTGTTTCGATGTTAAAAGTACATACGTGTAGTCTGTTGCGTTCAGGGCGCCATCCAAGAAGGCGCGTTGGTAGATCTAAAAGCGAAGGCTGCACGTAGGATCTGAAAAGATGAGCCCGAGATCCTAGAGTTGGCGCTGTGTTCCCTCTGCCATAGGCTCTTTCGAGTTGGGCAGGGCTATTCGTTACCCTTTTCGGAGGGAGCCGGGGAAGGACCAGGGTAAATTTTCCATCCTCCAGCGCGTCACGGACCCATTGTCTATAATCCCGTCTGGAACTAGAGCGGCTGGCGTTGTACTTAGATTGTCGCGCAAGCATAGCTTTCGTGGATCTAAGGCATTGATGATTCCGTTTTCCCTCCGACGCACAGCGAGATTCGTGACCACTAGCCTGTGCTATGGTGTGGCGATTAGCGCCGTTATGTAAGCCAAAAAAGTTGCGGAATAATTGTTTGGGGCGGCCGTGGTCCCCCGGCGTGCCTCTGGCGGCTCTCGCAGCACAAATGTGACCATATAGATTGCGTGCCTTGTTTCCGTAATAGACGGAATAGTGGCGAGTGCCCCGTCTAAAAAACCATAAAGAGAGGTGGGCGCTGCAGTAATGGTATTTGTGTACTGCCATTCCATTCTTGAGACAAATAGGTATCGAATGGAAAATTTCAGGACAATATGCAAACTCTCTGTCAACTAGCGAGCAATTACAAAGTCGACACCAATGGTTTCCCCTCAAAGCATGCAGGAAGCGGTTGCGATTTTTTCTCGACTCGAACCAAAAGTCCGTTGCGGCGTCTTGACGGCCCGTGGCAAAACAAGACGAAGAGAAGGAAGACCCTTGCCTCT